TATTTGGAGGTTTCGGACGTAAGTCTAGCGTTTCTAACGTTTCCAACTCGTTTAGATTCTTTTAATGATATTGCTTTCCACATCTTTTCTTGAGATCATCTTATTTGTGAGTGTTGCATTCTCGGATGTGATCCCGTGACAGTATCGTCAGCTCCATTATCTTTTCAGATGCTTCGCACCACTTCTTGTGTATCTCGCTTGGTGTCCAGGACTATCAGCGTCTCAGCAGCGAGGGCTGCCGAGCAGCCGACGAAGAAAGAAGTAAATCGAATTTCTTCACTTTATGAATGGAAGTCTGATAATTCTATCTTGCAGGTTGAAGCACTGTTCGCTGAGAATCCACAAGAGCGACGAGGAAATGCTTTCAGGTTGGTTTCAGAATTTATTGTTTTTTGCAATGGAAGAGGGTATCACTATCTCTTTTCAGCTTGAACAGAGTCGAAATTGTCGGCGGTGTTGCGAACGACCCAATTTCGAGAACGGCGAAAAATGATCGTCCATACACGATTCTCAATGTTATCACGAACTCGAGGCTTCGCTTGGGTAATGGAGAGTACAAAGAACAGGTAAACTTTTTCTTTCAAAATCATAAACATATGAGAAGGCGATTAACAGCAGTGCATCAAAAGGCTTTTTGGAAAAATAACTGAACGCTTAAGAAAAGTAAATAGCTTCTATGTAGTTGTTTTTTTTTCACGCTTCGTCGCCACCGTTATTTGTAATCGTTTTATACTGAGTATATCTCGTAACATTTTTATGCAATAATTTGAAGTAAATGTTTAGAGTGAGCGCCACACAATTACAGCATTCGGAAAGGTGGCAGAGTTTGTTGCAAAGAATATAAAGAAGGGTGAGTTGTTATCACCTTCCATTCTCTTTCTTCAAAGTACGATGTACTTGAGCAGAGGAAATTCTGAAATTTAAAACTTATGTTTGGAATAGCTTCTTCGAATAATCAGGTTTTGGCCAATCTATGCATTGGTCCTTTTTTTTTTCAAAACATGAATATTCGCAGAAGAAACTCAGTGTTTTCTTAAGAAGAGAGCTACGGTCTTCCAATTCTGTGTTCATCCTTTCCTTGTAAACATGATTTTTTTTCCATTTACATACCATCTCGTAACATCACTTTAAGGCCAACGAGTGCTTGTGAATGGTCGCCTCCATTATACTGGTGGACAGCTTGATGACCA